AGCCTGTAGTGCATTTTCTTAATTGATGATTGATGTGGGAGTGTCCATCTCACTGTGGGTTGTGTCATCCCTGGAGAGGTGGTCTTGGGTCATAAGAAAGCAGGCTGAGCAAGCCTTGAGAAGCAAGCCAGTAAGCAGCATCACTCTATGGCCTCAGCTTCAGTTCCTGTCTCAAGGTTTGTGTTAGAGACCCTAACTACGGCAAAGAGTAATGGAGAAATTGATTTAAAAAGTCAGGCATGGAGGCACAGGAGGCTGAGGCAACAAGTGGGCTGGAAAATATAGAAAACCATGTTAGTCACTGTTGGTGGTTTGAAAGAAAACGGCCCCCAAAGGGAGAGACACTATTAGGAGATGTGGCCTTGTTGGAGAAAGTCTGTCACTGTGGGGACCAGTTTTGGGGTCTTTTTTCTTAAGCTTCCTGCAGTGAGACAGCCCGCTGACTTCCTGCTGCCTTCTGGTCAAGATGTAGCACACTGAGCTCCAGCGCCGTGTCTGACTGTGTGGGCCATGCTCCCCATCGTGATCATAGACAGACCCTCTGAAACTGTAAGCCAGCCAGCCCAATCAAATATTTCTTTATGAGTTGCAGTGGTCATGGTGTCCCCTCACAGCAATAGAAACCCTAAGGCAGTCATCTAGATCAATTTGAGGCTGGCAAGGTGGCTCAGCAGGTAAAAGTACTTGTCACCCAGTCTGGTGACCCAAGTTCAATCCCTGACACCCGATCGTCTTCTGACCAGCACATGTGTACCAAGGCAGGCTTGCATGTGTGCACACCCCGGCAATCCCACATATCTGGGCTCTGACAGCAGCTTATCAGGCTGCAAGCTGTCTTCCTAGTAATGTCACCCTGGGAAATTTACTTGAATACTCTGTACCTCAGTTTTGGTAGCTGAAAAAATGGTGACAATTGTAGTACACACAGCATAGGCTATCTATGAGACTTAAACTTGAGTAAGCTGAGCATACACTTGTAACCCTAGGACTGCTGAGGCAGAAGAATTATAAATGTGAGGCCAGCCTGGGCTACATAGCGAGTTCCAGGTCAACCTGAACTACATACATAGTGAGATCACATCTCAAAAGAACCAAAAGAAAAAAATAACTCACAAAAGAATTAAAATAATAAATGATAATCAAGTGGTAAAATATTATTTTAAACAAGGAAAGGGGGTTGAGACAAAAGGAATGCTTTCCAGGGCTGAACGTGCAGCTTGGTGATAAAGTACTTACTTCCCACATGCAAGGCTCTGGGTTTGATCCTCAACATTATTTTTTTAAGCCCCTGAACAACAAAACACCTTGAAAATGTCCTCACACCATTACTTCTGCCTTAGTGTTTCTATTGTTGTGAAGAAACACCATGACCACGGCAACTCTTATAAAGGAAAACATTCACAGATTTCAACCATTATCACCATAGTGGGACATGGTGGAGTGTAGGCAGACATGGTGCTGGAGAGGTAGCTGAGAGTTCTGTATCTTGTGGAGGCAACAGGAAGTGGTCTATCACATTGGGCAGTATCTTGAGCATATACGACACCTCAAAGTCCACAGTGACACACCACCTAATAGTGCCACTCCCCTTGGGGGCCATTTTCTTTCCAACCATTACAGCTTATAAATGAAAACAGTATCAACAACTGAAGAGTCCATTAATAGGTTGTTTTCATTTTGTGTGCATGATGTGTGTGCATATGCATGTGTATGTGCCTTGTGTGTAGTAAGCACAGGTGCACACATGACATGTGTGCAGGCCAGAGGACGTCATGTTTCAGGCTTCACTATTTATTTATTTATTTATTTATTTATTTATTTATTTATTTATTTGAGACATGAGCTCTTGTCTTCCTTTGTGTATGCCAGACTAGCTGGTCCACAGGTGTTTATGGATTCTCTGTCCACACCTCGCATCTCATTGGAGGAGCACTGGTTAAAGATATGCATTACCGCACCTGTATTTACATGGATTCTGGGGATTCAAACTCAGGTCCTCATAATTATACAGCAAGCATTTTCCTTACCAAGACATATCCCTAGCCCAAGGATTTTTTTTTTTTAACAATGTAGTCTAAGGTCAGAATACTAAGTATTATCTATGTTGTAGTTCAAGCTGGCAAGATGGTTCAGTGGGTAAGGACTCTTGCCATGCAAACATGACCAAGCTAAGTCCAATTTCCAGCACACACATAAACATTGAAGGAGAGAACTGACTCCACAAAGCTGTTTTGACCTCCACACCCATGCTGTGGCATGCAGAAAATAATAGTAAAATAAGATATTGTATGTATGGGTCTGACCAACCTGCTACCCAAGGGCTGCATGTACCTACAGATAGCTGTGAATACAACCAAAAACAAACTCAAACTTACTTAAAATGTTATGAGATTTGTTATTCACGGCTTTTGTAACTTGGGGCTGGAGAGATGGCTCAGTGATTAAGAGTACTGGCTGCTCTTCAAGAGGTCCTGAATTCAATTCCCAGCAGTGGCTCACAATCATCTATAATGAGAGCTGCTGTCGTCTTCTGGCATGCAAGACAACAGGCAAACAGAGCACTGTATACATAATAAATAAATATGTCCTTTTAAAAGTTTTGTAAGTTGATTGTGCAATTCTCAAGTGTGCACATTGTGGATGGCAATGCCATAGTGCAATGTCAAACGGCTGAACATGCTTGAATCAAGAATTTTCTCATTAGGGCAGGATGTGGTGGCATGTGCCTTTAATCCCAGCACTAGCGGAGGGAGGCAGAGGCAGGTGGAGCTTTGTGAGCTCAAGGCCTGGTCTACACAGTGAGCTCCAGGGTAGCCAGCACTACATAGTGAGACTCTGTCTTAAAAACAAAAACAAACAAACAAAACACCAAAAACATTCAGGCTACCTGTACACGTACACATGAAATATAAGTGAATTTTTTTATGTGTAGACATTGGCCCCATCCCAGTGTATCTTCACAGATCAAGGTAAGCCAAAATATGACAAAATTAGAACTGTCAAGCTCTTCTGATGTCATCATAATCTATACAGCCCCCAAAGACTTAGTAATAGTAAGAGAAACTAAAGCACAATGCTTAATGGCATAAGCATTGCTACCACACATCAGTGGGCTGGAATCTACTACTACTTTCAAACACCAGGAGTTTGGAGAAGTAATTTAACCCTTTTAAGCCTCAGGTTCTGCACTGTGGATAACTGATACACAGTGCTTAGCACAGTGCCTGGCACATTGATATTACCCAGTAGGTGGGAAGAGTTATCAGTACTCCAAGTGTGTGTTTGTTCATGTACAGCTCAAAGGGGTTTCTAGAGGTAATCTATTATTTTGTGTATACATGTGACATATACATACATACACGCACCCATAGGTGTACTCATATGAGGAGGCCAGAGGTTAATATCAGGTGTCTTTCTCTCTGGTTCTCCACTTTTTTTTGAGGCAGGGTCTTGCTGAACCTGAAACTTGACAACTAGGCTAGAACAATTGACCAATAAGCTTCAGGGATCTGCCTGTCTCTACCCGTTCAGTACTAGTCAGCCTCCAATCTCTGGGCCCACTTTTAAATGAACTGGGGAATGAACTCAGGTTCTCATGCTTCATAGCAGGCATTTGACCAAATAAACCATCTCCCCAACTCCAAGGTTACCTTTTTTTTATCTCCTACTGTAATGGCTTATCTTTTTTGAAAAATTATATTCATCGTGTGTGTGTGTGTGTGTGTGTGTGTGTGTGTGTGTGTGTGTGTGTGTGTGCAGATCAGAGAAATTTGGTTCTTTCCACTATGTAGGTGTGAGGAATTAAGCTCACATTGCCCCACCCACCCCTTCCATCAACTTTTACAAATTCACTAACATGGTCATTATCGTGTCCTTAATTTCCAGGTGGTAGTCATCCAGTTTGTTTCTCCTGCTTCTTTGGTGATGTTGAGGGTTCCACTGCTTTCTGGTGGAACTGAAAATGTGACCATGAAATAGACAAATGGTGTCCAAGGCATCTTGGAGAGAAGAGCTGGTTCTATAGACAAGTGATAGGCAAATTCCATGTGAAAGCAGGTTTATTCTGGTCACCAGGGGGATTTCAGTGTCCGCTGACAGGAAGGAGGGTGTGCATTTCCGGGAAACAAAGGTAGAGCTCATGTTTATACCATTTTCCTAGTGGGTGAGGGCTATAAGGTAATGCCTTTGCTATGGAAACTATGTAGTTTGAATTCATCTGGAGACAGACCATAATTTAATGTCAGGGGAAAAGTAGCTAGTTTTCCTTTGTCTAGCTAGGGTTTGCTCTCCCCACCCCAACTTGTGTTTTAATCCTTCCAGCAGTGGCCTGTCAACTCTAGGAGGGAATGAGGTCTCATGCCTTCAGGCTGTGAGATCTGGCATCCTAGAGAGACCAGTATCTTAAAAACACAGGCTATACTCTAACTCTACCATTACATTTTCCTTAAAATGTTTGTTTTCTCCTTTATGAAAAGGGATGTCCTGTTACATGTAATCTTTTTGGACTTACCCTTTTCACTAAGGTGTTGCTAAGATTCATGCATATTGTTACATATCATCGAGGCTCATGTTCCAGTTATTATATCACTTTACTCCCTAATGATGGGCATCGGGATAGTTTCTAGGGTTTTGTATTTGTGAAAGTATATTTTTTCATATTTCCTGTTGCATCCATATGAATTTCCCTTGACATATGCTCAGGAGTAGTATTGCTGGATTGTATAATATGTGAATACTGTTATTTCATATATAATTGTCATCTAATATTTTTACCTCCATGACTTCTTGCATCATCTCTGAGAATATATACTGCTGTTATTTTAAATTCTTGGTCTGCTTATTCTATTAGCTCTGTCTTTAAAATGTTTAAGCATGAACTTAAAGGATCGTGAAACTATACAATTATGTATAGTATAGTGGTCATCTTTACAAGGATTGAGGTCAGCAAACTCACAAACATCAATTCAACATCAGTTTGACAGTTCCAGAGGTCATTTCATTTTTATTATGAAAAATGTAAAAGAAAATTCATCCAGAAAAAAATAAAAAACATAAGAACCCAAATAATTTTCTTGAGAAAGCAGTGATAGTGAGGGATCCCTCTGCTGCAGACATGATGTCCATCTGTCTCCTTTGTATTTCATCTCAAAGCTCCGAGGTCACTATAACCCCAGATCTCTCCAGTCATTCCTGACTGTGAACGCCAAGCTGAGAGACTGGTCCTTTTACACAGCTATATTAAGAACAGAAATTATCAACATTTCTCAAAGTGCAACTTCCATTCATTTCGACTTCTTGGCATTGGGCTCCAGTGAAGAGCTGAGCGCTCCACGGTCCTTCCTCCATTCACAGATGTCTACATAGTCACAGGTCCGACACTTCCATGCGTCTTCTACATCAACACCTTGAGGTTCCCGGTGGCCCATCCAGTAGGCCACATAATGCTGCACCTTGCTTTTCACTTCTTTCTCTTCAAAGGCTACAATCTCTGTGCCCAATACAGTGGCAGTCTCTTGATGGATATACTCTAGTCTTAGGGTATCAATAGCTGGGAGGTCAGACAGGGTAAGGGACAAGAAAACCAGTTCTATGAGGTCACTCAAAGACTTCACAGAGAAGCCTCCTTGTCGGGCATGCCTCAGCACTGAAGGCCCCAGTGGCTTGTCTAGACACAATTTTGTATGGTGGACTAGGCCCGCAGGAGTCACTTTCCCTTGTACCATGGCATCAAAGATATATTTGTATAGACTAACTTGGAAATGGTCTTTCTTTTTCTGAGCTGGCAGAGGGAGCATTGGGCGCCTTCGTGTCTTGAGTTCGGCTAGCTCCAGTTCCCCCTTAGATGTGTAGTGCAACTCATCAATCACTCCAACAAGAAATATGCCCTCTACTTCCCCAAACACAGGAAACTCTCTGATGCGCCCTTCTGACTGTAGGGTAGGAATCATTGAAAGTATGTTCAGAAACTTGATTGCCCAGGCATCTTCTTTAGTGGTGATGGGGACAGTCACAAGATCATGAAGTTCCAGTTCTTTTGCTAGGTGGATGCTAGCACCAGTGTCCAAAACAGCTGCCTTCTCAGGTGTCAAAAACCCAGGAAGTTCCTTTCCATACACCATTTGCAATTCACACCAGTTCTGAGTACATAGGTCAGTGACATATAAATATTTCAAATGGAATCTCTCCATGGGCGACAAGACATCCAATCCATTTTTCCAGTTCTGCACACTTACAGGTTTGTCATCTTTCCCAGGGAGTTCAGAAGAAGGGCCAGGCTTGCTAACTGAAGCAGTTGATTCTTTGGCATCTTCCAGGTCCAGAAACTCTACCAACTCCGAGTCACTCAAGTCAGAGAACCCTGAGGCTTCTGCTGATGCTGTCTCCTCTTCCCTAGTCTCAGCCATTATACATGGTACGGTTCTAGACTGAACGAAGAGGGACCTAGATAATGTACCAAACATTGTCAAAGACTTGCAAATTCCTATGAGACTAACAGGATCATATCAGCTGACTGACTCATCCATTCAATGCAGCACTGGAAACTGAATCCAGGACCTTATGCATGCTGGGCAAGTACTCTACTCCTAAACTACATCCCCAGCCCTAAGAAGACATATGACTAATGAGTAGTTACAAAGAGTTACACACAGGTACACTTTATGACTCTTCTTACTTACTATCTACCCATCCATGTCTATTTCTTGTTTTCACTTCTACAGAGTCATAGCACAAGTTAATTAAGTGATGTGCCACCGAGAGTAGACTATTTTATTTTTATACATGGATCTGCTGCTGATATATTTTGTCATGGATGACTTTAGGCAAATCTTATTTTCTTGGCCTTGATTTCACATTGAGGTTTCCCTATTTTACTCGAAACTCTACAGATTTGGAATATTATTTCACTACCTTTAATGACTATAGGTCTTGATATATATTAATGATGAAGAAAACCTCTTATTCTTACTAGCCATGCATGACAGGGCAAGACCGTATCCCATGTACTTGGGGGATGGAAGAAGGAGGCAGCAGAGTTCAAGGTCTCACAGCTACATAGCCAAGTTGCGTTAAGTCCTGCTTGGGCTACATTAGACCAATCAAAACAATAGCAAAAAAGAAAGCACACACACAGTTACCCTTATGACCTTACACAGATCTTCTTTATACAAATTTGTGTTAGCCACTACCCTGGTGCTTGCCATTAATATTTTTCTCCTCTCAGTAAGAAATTAGCTTATGATGAAAAAGGCCTATTAGCACAATTGAAAATACAAAAATTAGTACCCTGATACAGACATGCTGCATTTACTTAAAAGAAGGAAACAATTTACACTGATGCACACTTTAGACTCAACCACACGACCCAGGCATTTTAAACCCAGACAGGGTCTCTTTCTGTGTAGCCCTGGCTGGCCTAGAACTTACTCTGTAGACCAGGCTGGCCTCAAACTCAGAGATCCACCTGTGTCTGTCTCTTCAGTGCTGCGATTAAAGGTGTGCACCACCATCACACAGCCAGCCTAGACATTCTTATGCTGCTAAAAAAAAAAAAAAGTTCAGAAAGGAATATGACACAATGTACTATAGACACATGACCTGTCAACATCATCTGATGCCTGCACCAGCATTTTAAGATATACCATAGATTTATTATAAAGCTATTATAGCATCTACCAAATGCTTCATTAGACTTCTGACCTTTTTTTTTTTTTTTGAGGGTGGGTTGAGATGGGGTTTGTAGCCCTGGTTGGCCTGAAACTCGCTCTGTGGAACAGGTTGGCCTCAAACTCTGGAATTCTCCTGCCTGTCTTTTTCAGATTAACAGCATGTACTACCACTGCCCGGCGTACATCTGGCTTCTTTAAAAGATTCATAAATACCTATTAATATCTATGTTAAATATTTAATATGTGAACATATATGTTTAAAAAGTGCATAAGTGTAGCTAAAACTTACTAGGTGAAAACAAAAATGAGATGTTTAGAAAGTACCAGGACAGAATCAAGAGACCACAGAGTTTGAATCTAATCCTGAAAAATCCAGTAGAATTTGCTAGTATGCTACTTGTTTCTTGAATACTCCTGGGCACATTGAAAAAAGATTCTGATGTTACTGACACATCTTTAAAATGTAGAATTGGTAGGCTAATCCTTCTATGTCGGTTTAGCTAAAACACAGTACACATAAATGTGGCTTCCCTTCCTCTTTCAAATGAATTGATTGGTCTATGTATCTATTCGCTCCGGAAAATGGTAACTTTAGCAGAGCAGGAGCTCGTACTCACCTGGGCCTTAGCTGATTTCCCTCGTCAGGGAAGGGCGTGTATTAAAATGGCAAAACGAGTGAAGATGAGTAGGCACTCAGGGCCTTGCTGTGATAAAATGTGAACTTCTGTTTCTTTTCACCTCATGTTACGGTGTTACCCTGCAGGGACAGCTAGCTATCATAACTCCTCCCAGCACCGGCCTCTCCAGGGCAAGGTCTCCATAACTTCTCATACCCCAGAAGGGCTACTTGATGCAACCCCTCTACTTGGCGCTGTTCCTCCCTCCAGGCTCCCAGCTGCAGCCCGAGGTCGGAGGCCGTGCCTGGCTGATGGGTTCCGGCTGCCGCCACTGCCTTTATCCACGGGGGAGGCCTGCGCTTTCCACTCAGCCCCCGAGCTCCTGTCCTCCTGGTGTGCACCCTCAAGTGTGCTGAGCCCACGCGCCAGGACTCGGATCCGTCCAGGCTCAGAATGCACAGAACAGGAACCTCATTCAGGACTATCCCTCAGCAACTGACCACCGTCTTGGACTTCCTGGCGGCGGTCCGAGAACCGCCCCTTTCCAGAGACCCAGCCCCCGATCTCGCGAGACTAGGGTTGAGCGGGCGTCTAAACCTGGTGCATTTGTATGTACTGTGTGTAGTGTCTTTTAGCCTGGAAGCATCTAGCAGCCGCTGTCCGGGTCTCTTGCGACCACCAGCCCACTGAGGAAGGTCTTGGCGGTCACCTCACTGGCTATCCCCAGTACAGCTAGCAGGCTTCTGACACCCTTGGAACCTGAATCCGGATCTTAGCATCCGGCACCAGCTTTCCCTGTTTATGGAGCAATTACGAACTCAAGCTTCACAGACGCTGGCCTCCTGTTGTCAGTGCCCTTTGGTTTCCTTTCATCCTTTATCTTGACCTCCAGTTGGGATACTGCAACCTCTGTTTTTTCGGTGCTGGATTACAGGCATTATGACCTTATGCTCAGATTCTTTCTAAAGATTTTTTTTTAATATCTGGCTTTATTTTATGCGTATCGATGTTTTGCCTGCAGTATAAGCACCATGAGCCTGCCTGGTGCCTGTAGAAGCCAGAAAGGGGAGTCGGATCTCCTGGGACTAGAGTTAGAGAAGGTTTGAAAGCCAGAAACAAACTCAGGTCCTCGGGAAGAGCAGCTAGTGCTCTTAACTTGTGAGCCATCTCTCCAGCTCCAGTTGTTTCTATTCTTGGGAAATACTTTTCAGCCCGTGGTGACCCACACCTAAAACCTCAGCTCAAAACTCCAAAAGGATAATGCCTGACTGTGTTGCTCAATTAGTAAATTCAGTCAAGAACTCAAGGGTTTGCCAGTTTGTTTTTAATTTAGATATCACCACAGAGGCCACAAGTGGGTATTGGATCCCCTGGAACTGGAGTTACAAACAGTTGGGAGCTGCCATGTGGGTGCTGGGAATTGAACCTGGGTCCTTGGGAAGAGCAGCTGCTGAGCCATCTCTCTAGCCCGAAAAGTACTTTTTTTTTGTTTGTTTGGTTTTTTTGTTTGTTTGTTTGTTTTTGTTTTTTTTGAGACAGGGTTTCTCTGTAGCTTTGGAACCTGTCCTGGAACTCACTCAGTAGACCAAGCTCTGTAGATCCACCTGCCTCTGCCTCCCAAGCGCTGGGAATATATATAATACATATATATAATATATACATATATATAATATATATTTCTCTGGTCTGTGGAAGGATAACACATGCCAAAGAACTTGGGCAGGAAAAAAGGGGGGGACTTGCACAGATGGGGACTAAAACCAAGGAAATACTACACACACTCAATGTGGCAGGAGCAAAGATAAAAGAGGGACAGTTCTGTGCCTCTCCCTTTGGCACTGTTGAAGGAGTGGACCCAGAGAAATTAATTTCCTGGGAGCTCGTGCTGGAGGAAAGGAGATGCTGAAGCATCATGCCATACAGAGGATATGTCTCCCAGGAGACACTTCACACGCCCCTTACCACTTGTCAGACCACTCTGCAGGAAACAGCTGAGACATGGGCAGGACCATCCCTTGACCAGGACATCTTAGTTGTGTACCTCTCTTGGCCTCTGTTTAAACCTAAACTTTGGCTGGGCAGTGGTGGTGCACACCTTTAATCCTAGCACCCAAGAGGCAGAGGCAGGCAGATCTCTGAGTTCGAGATCAGCCTGGTCTACAGGGTGAGCTCCAGGACAGCCAGGGCTACACAGAGAAACCCTGTCTCCAAAAAACCAAACATAGATAAAGAAACCTAAACTGCATGTTAAGACCATCTTACGGTCTTGGGAATCATTAGACTTGTTTGTTCCTCTCTCCGAAGTGGCCTCATTGCATGCATCCCCTTTCTCTGCTTCTTTCGTTAAGGGAATATGGAAAGTGAGTGGCTGAGCTTGGCCTATTAATGCTACTAGAGCTCAGCATTAGGCCCCAAGAAAATCCAGTAATATGACTGTATATTTGGGGGACCACAAATCTTTATGACAGAGCCAAAGTACATTTGGGTGGAAATGGTCTCAATGGTTCTACATTTAGATAAAATGACATTTTTCTTCACTTAATCATAAACAACTGGGGATTTTAAGCAATGGTTGGGTGTGTGTTATAGTATGTCATTGTAGCAGCACACAGCATATATATATTTGCTAGAGCAATGGTTCTCAACTTTCCCAATGCTGCCACCCTTTAATATAGTTCCTCATGTTATTTTAGTGGCTACTTAACTGTAACTTTGCTAGTTATGAATCATAATGTAAATATCTGACGTGCAACCCCTGTTAAAGGGTCATTAGACCCCTACCAAAGGGGTCACAAGCCACAGGCTGAGTACTACTGTGCTAGAGGAAGATCGACTGATGATGACACAGTTAGAAAATGCTAAGAACTTGCAGGCTGACCCTGACCTAGAGAGTAGGTAAACTGAGGCTGTCCTAGAACAGTACTTTGTGATCAACTGGGGGGTGTAATGGGTGAGAAGAACAAGTTTAGCTGGAGAGTTGGATTGATGGTGGTACAACTTTCTAAGTTAAGGAATGCAGACTTTACTGAAAAGACAGTAAGATTTCAACATGTAGCGTTTGAAGCAGTTATAATCAATACCCACACTGAATGTAATTTGGAGCTCAAGAGACTTCTAAGGTGGAGATGAAGAAATGTAAAATGTCAGTAAGATCAATTAGACCCAATGCATGACCATGGGAGAGAATGCTAAGAGTCATGGAGAAAAAAATGTCTGTCATTAGCAGAGGGAGAAGTGACGGTGTGGTAAATAGTAACCATGACGGTGTGGTAAATAGTA